GGATGAGGATTAACAAAAACAAAAAAAGGGTAGTCAATTGTAATTGATTTATTATTTATAATAGTATTAGAAATTTTTGCTTTCCTTTTCATTATAGTTTTTTCATTAGTAATTAATTTCACATAGTTACTCATGATTTTTACTACTATTTGCATTTGACATTTGGGCAAATAGAAAGGGGTCTAATTATCTTCCTACTAGTAGCATACTAAAAAACATTCTTTCCATATAAAAATAATTTTACCAAAAAAGCAAGAGGGTTGAACTTCCATTGGTGTCATGTATATAGGCAATTTTAAAATTCTGTGTGTATTTTGCAAAACGCTGTCATACTTTTAAGCAACTTAGAGTACTTCAGTCGAAAGCTCTTACATAAATAAAAATTACAGTTGATTGTATTTGAATGTCGTTTTCCAAAACAGCAAGGGTGGAATTAAACAACGAAGCCTGGGAGGCAGTAAAAATGACTTAGAAATTCTGACCTGCATGAAGGCAAAGCGATGATCAGTGTGCTGAGGGCGATATACTTTCATGGATGCTGGAGGTTGACTTCTCAGAGTTATGGCTTATACATGATTTGGTTGATATTATAGCTTTCACTGTAGAGGTTAATTTGAATTAATAGTCAGCATGAAACTCCTCACTAGACTGGTTTTTTTTCTCACAGTTTAAAGGAAGTGCCATGTTTATTTTGTCCAGTGAACCTTTGTCCCTATTCCTCCTCCTTGGAAACGTCACGCGTGTTCATCTCCACCTGCCAGACAAACCCTCTCTTCTCTCTGATACCTTGTTTGACCTCCTTTGTCCATACTGAGCTCAGTCCACATGTGGCATTGCTCATGTACAGATTTAACCATGATTTGCCCTTTATTGTTAGGTACTGTTGGAAATAGTGAAGTCTTAGTTTAATAAATATGTGCCCCTAGAGGGACACTGTCATAACTCTTTGGTCCTTTACGCATTGTCGATGTATGCATTACATATTTATAATTATACAGTTTATGGATAGATGAGGCTTAAAATTTACTCCAATTGCATCATCTTATGGACAAGAAACAATGAACTTATAAAGAGGTAAAGTATTTTCTCCTAAGGGTTATAGCTAGTGTTAGAGGTAAAACCAAGACTGGAAGTTAGATATCCTGACTTCCAGTTTAATACAATTTCCACTCTTCCTTCCTTGCATTTTTCATTCAACAGATACTTATTGAGCATCTACCAGGTGGCAGGCACTCTGCTGGGCCCTGATACTGCAGTGTTGAGCCTGTTTTGGAACGTATACTGTGATCAGGGAGGAAGATGTTGACAACTATCATACAAATACTTGTTACACCAGCTTCTGAGAGAAGTGCTGTTAAGGGTTATGTAGTGCTGTTAGACTAGGTAGTAGACGGAAGATTTCCTCGAGAAACTGACTTGTAGGACTTGGCATTGTATTGATATGTATTTTTAAATGCAATTAAAGTAGACAAATATTTGTTTGCTTACTCTGTGTTGGGTCCCAAAAGAAATGACAGTCAGTAAGCTACAGCCCCTTCCCACAATTTAGTCTACAAGAGGGATAAGGCAAGACATAACGATTAATGTTAAGTAAAATGCAAAAGGTCTGTGGTTCAAAGGACACAGAGGACACGAAGATCACATTTTGGGGGGAGAGGAGAAAAATCAGAGAGATGGCACATGGCATAGCCCCAGAACAAAAGCTAAAGAAGGTAAAGAAAGGAAGAGGGAAGACATTACCGATGAAAGAAAAAGCAAGCAGAGATAGACAAGAATGACAAGAATTTTCTGGCAAAAAAGTGGTGTCACTTTACAGGGGCAGGCGTTCAGTGGAAAGTTACAACACACTGTTGAGAATGTTGTCTTTATTTAAATGCCCTTATAGTCAACTGAAATTAAGGATGGAAACATAAGAATCCCTCTTTGTTCCTACTCCTGGATCACATAATCCAGTGCTTTATTTGGTTGCCGTCTGTATGGATTGTTCCCCCCATGGGAACTATGTCTAATTCCCTGTTGCTGTATTACCTAGCATCTTATTGGGGTCCAATAAACCGTTAATCATAATAGTGAAAAGTGTCTGGTATGTTGAAACTGTTTTCTCTGGCAGAAGCTAACTTCTCCAGAAACAGAAACAGGACTCCTTCCAAGTGTCATGGCTAGCTCAGTGTAGGGAGTCGTTTTAAACACTGCCTGCGCTAACCTATGTCACCGTGTGGCTGTTAGGCCATTCAGAGACAGGTCTCAACCAGTTATCTCTATGGATAGTATAATAGTTGTCTAAATATTATTATAGGAAGGTTCTGAAAATTCCTTATTTGTTAGCATATGTTCGTTCACCAGCTACCATGTTCTAGGTTCTACCCAGGACATAGTTTTATTGGCCAAGCTTATTAGGGAAGCAAATGGAGAAGAATTTTTTAGAACAAATCTGCAAATGAATGGCCCCCAATCAAACTCGGGCACAGATATACTTTATTTATCATTTATAGGGTCGGCAAGATTTAAATTAGATTTCACAGAAAAATTGAGGTTGATGGCTTCCCTTGAAATGTGGGAAGATCTAGCAACAGGGGACCTACATTCTCAATGGCAGCAATTAGTTGGAGCTAAATAGCAGCTGCCCTTTTTATTTATTTATTTTTAAAACATATTTTTATTGATTTTTAGAGAGAGAGGAAGGGAGAGGAAGACAGAGATAGAAACTTTGATGAGAGCGATACATCAACATCATTTGGCTGCTTCCTGCACATCCCCTGCTGGGGATGGAGCCCACACCTGGGGATGTGCCCTGACCAGGAATCGAACCAGCAAGCTGTTGGTCCTTGGGTCAGCACTCAACCACTGAGCCACACTGACTGGGCGCAACTGCCCTTTTAATTAGTGAGTGTATCTCTCAGTGTGTCACAGTCCCCGTCACTCCCTGTTGCATGTGCACAGCCTGTCTTATGTTTTCCCCTGGCTTCCTAGCCCTTATGGACATCTGCTAATGGCTCCTGCTTTGGAGTGACAGTTGCCCCTGTGGGCCTCTTCTTTTTAGTTTCCCGTAGCAATTCTGTGGCTCAGCCTCATTCCTAGAGTTTCTGATTCAAAAGGTTTGAGGAGGGACCAGAGGATTTGCATTTCTATCATATTCCCAGGTGATGCTACTGGTGTGTGGACCACCTTTTGAGCACCACGGACCCTACAGTACTGGAACAGTACAAAGCCATGTGCGGCTAGTGGAGCCCCACCAGGAATCACATTGGGGTCATAAGAAGAAGCAGAGTCAGAGTTAAAACCCTGCCTTTAGAGTATATCCTGCAGGAAACCATCCCTGCTTCTGCCCCCAGCGGCCCTCCGAGATCCACTGAACCCTGGAATACAGATGTAGTGACAAGTACTCTAATTTAGAATGGTAGCAAGGGCAATCATTGTCATGTCTCAGGACACACAGAGTTAGCTTGATCATCTTCAGTGAGCAAGGGCAGAAAGGCAGAGTGAAACTTAACATTCTATGTGCCTGTTGGGCCGGGGGGACGGGGGGGGGGGGCACACCCAGGGTTTTATGCATGGAGGAGGTCCGATTCAGCAGGCTGAAGGCATTGAAGATTGGTCCAGTGCAGTCTTTGGTATCAGCACAGAAAAACAAGTGCTCTAGAGCCAAGCGGAGCACAGCATTGGGGATTCAGTGGGGAGCTGATCGATAATTGTTTTCGAAGAGTAAACCTCATGGAGAATGGTGACTGAGGTAGGCCCATCTGGGTTAGGAACAGGACTCAGGAACAGGACTCCAGGCTGGCAGGGTTGCTGGTGGGATAACAAGGCAGACTGCCTGGACAGGGACTAGGCACAGAAAGCAACTATAGGGGTCTGTTTCCCAAGGCTGAGGTCCACCATGGAGCTAGGGCTTTTCTGTTACGAGGTCTGACTGTCAAGGTCAGAGGCGAACTAGCAAGAAAGGTGGTTTCTTCAGTCTTAGTGTGTTGGATTTCTTAAAACCTTATTAAAGTCCAGATTAGTCTAATGATATGGAGCCCTTCTCACTTATGGGCAGAGGAGGACAGTAAATCAGACAGAGCCTGACATGGATCAAATTTATTACTATTCTATCGGCTTAAAACTATGAAATGAAGAACTAGGTCATCATGTGATTATGATAGCCACGCACTAACCTAGTTCAGAAGTTTGTATTTTTGTACAAAATCAAGACTGAATAATTATCAGCCATCTGCCTCCAGTTTCCAAGGTAATTAGTTCTTATATTTGTTTATTTGAATGTTTATGCATATGTATAATTTGCATATATTACATTCATTTTAATTGTGATTGTTTAGCAGCTGTATATTCTGGTTAATTTGGCGTTTGACGTATAATGTTTTTATTTCAATCTTATTGAAAAAATATTTTAAATATATTTTTTAAAAGGCAGATATAAAATAAATATTTTAGCAGTTGGGATGTGTGGGAATGGAAGGGGAATGGTTTCTATTGTTCATATTAAATCATTGCTATTTACTGTTGTTCCAGTGGTTTTATACTCTAGACACTATAGAAACTAGTTCTGAATAGTTGAGAAGTCTGACTGAGTTTCTGCTAAGATGTCACACCCATGAGCTGGGTGTATTTTGTGTTTGATTATAATAAACTATAGAGGAGATGATTGTTCCATTTTCACCCTTGAATAATATTCATTGCTTTAGGATTATGATTCTCACCTAAAACCAGCCGTGTGTGTAACATGACACCCTCATTGTCCTGGTGGGGGCTGCACACTGCTTTCCTCTAGTCATCTTTAAGTAGCTTCACGGTTTACTCTACAGGGAAATATTTGGGACTGGGCTCTCTCTCAGGAAAAAAAAGAGGAAGAAGAAGAAGAAGCAACATTATTTGATTATAAACCAGTTTGAAAATCAGTATTTGAAAGATCTCAGAGTGCTCAATGTAACATGTGAACCAAAGGCAATGTTCAGTGATGGAAAGGAGGTTAAAACTGCTGTTTTTGTTTTTGTTTTAAACAGGCTCATGCACAATTAGTTCGAGAAGTTGATGTGGAGAAGGTGTCTGCTTTTGAGAATCCATACGTAGATGCAATAAAGAGTTTATGGAATGATCCTGGAATCCAGGAATGCTATGATAGACGACGAGAATATCAGTTATCTGACTCTACCAAATAGTGAGTATTCACCCAGGAGGCCCTTCGGATCTCTCTGCTTCCACGTGCAGGCGCTCTGCAGATAACCTCTGTGTTCTGCGCTTTGTGTATAGTTTCTGAGACGAACATCAAAGTTAGGAAGTATAGATACTAAATTTGTGCCAACCTCGTAAGGGACTGGCATGAGTTAGGGAGAGTGTCTTTTACTGCTTTCTGTTTGAAAAACCAACCACCCATCTCTTCTCCCGAATTGCAAGCCAGCGATTCTCCAACACAAACTCCATTGTGATTTGAAATCTTATAATATTAATTTCTAATACAAATTTACAATCTTATTCATGTGCTAGAAAACACCGGCACACAGTAAGAACTGCAAACAACTATGTTTGATTATGGCTTCTAAAACGTCAGACTTCCTACTTTCCAGTTTCCAGACACAGAACCTTGCCTGCTTTCTTAGAGCCAAAATAATGTTGATGGATAGGTTTATCTTTGCATGAAAATTTTGTGTGAGTCTAATTTTGCATGCATGCCAGAGTTATTTTGTGAGCTGTCAATCAAAATCATGTATCTTGGGAGAGATTTGCATCCCAGAGAGATTTGTGATTGCTCTAGATTAAATCTCGCCTAACAAAAAGAAAGTAAAGGTTTGGCCATCATTGGATTAATGTAATCAATGCAGTCAGCAATCTGGATAATTAGGTGCCTGAAAAGGGGCTTTTTTTTTTTTTTTTTTTTTTTGTAGTATTTAGCCAGATTTCTGTCTACATTAATTATGTTCACCAGCATTTGCCTCTTGTATTGGTTCTGGGCAGACAGAAGAATGGGTGGAAAAATATGCAGCTGCCTCAGGTCAGTTCATAGGATGAAATGACCCGCTGGGTGGGAGCAGGACCATGGGGGAAAGAAGGAGCCCATAGGCTGATTGGCTTACTCACTAGCACATACAGATCCAAGAGCTAGTCAGCTTTGTTTTTTGTATAAATTTGGTCATGCTTTTACCCTAGTTCCAGGCATTTGTATAAGATAAGTTATGATTCAGTTCAGCCACAGAAATGTTGCCTGGTCACAACAGTTCCGGTGTTCTTTGAGTGAATCTGAATGACATAATTCTGGAATGGGACAGAATGCTCACAAGCACTGAGGGTGTCACTCACGTGCTATCTGATAGGAACCCCCGTGTGCGTCTGCAATGTGTGCTGGACTCATTCCTTATCTTTTTTTCCCTTCTCCATGCCACTCTTACTCCCAGTCTCTCTTCTGCCATCTGACAGCCTGCCTTCCCCACTTCCCTGTCTTCCTCCCCCTCTCCTTTCTTTCCGGCCTCTTTTGCTCTCTCCTGAACTCCTACCAGTAAGTTTCTGAGCACAGAGATGCAAACGATGCATTCAGCCCTTGTCTGTTCCAAATTCTGCCCCCTCAACCTTTGACCAGCTGTCTTTCCTTTGCTTGCTGCCCCCTCTGTCCTTCTGTTTCCTCTGCCATCACATCTATCTCCCTAGGTTGTTGTTGTGTTTTATCCCTCACTCCCTGCTCCTGTTCATTGTGTCTCCTCCTAGCTGCGTGTTCACCCCTCCGCCCTCACGCCTGATTCTCCGTCAACTCCTCTTCACGCCTCACTTTGCTGCTCTAATGTCTCTCTTTACTGATGAATAAATCCTCCATTATAAAGGTATGCTTTTATGCCCTGGCTGGTTTGGTATGCTTTTATGCCCTGGCTGGTTTGGCCCAGAGCATCGGCCTGCAGACCAGAGAGTCCCGGGTTTGGTTCCCGCTGAGGGCACGTACCTAGGTTGAGGTTTGTCCCAAGCCCCAGTTGGGGTCGTGTGGGTGGCAACCACTTGGTGTGTCTCTCTCACATCGATGTTTCTCTCTCTCTCTTCCTCCCTCCCTCCCGCTCGATCTGAAGATAAGTGCAAAAGTGTCCTCGGATGAGGATAAAAAATAATAAAATAAAATAAAATAAAAATAAATGAAGATATACTTTTATGAATAAATGCTCCACCTCTCAGCATTCCTCACCCTTATCTTTTGACTTTTATCATACATCTTGTCTCTTCTCCTCTTCACCTGTTCTGTTCTTCACCTGTCACACATCTGTTCTCCCTGTAGAGAGGTCTTGCTGTTTGGGGCATCAGAACACCAATATCTAATAGTCATGTGCTTACCAGGGTTAGGGCTCCGCCGTAGCAAACTGTTCTACTCCCTGCTCCTGGGATGGGCCCTCTGAGTGGACTGCGGAGCTGATGTCGTGCCCTGGTTTACCCATCGTGGTGCAGTCAGTGCTTACCACATTCTCAGCACACTGACATCTCCACTGTAAGCAATCAGTGTGGTGTAACTGAGGGGTCTTCAGTTCCCCATAAAGTCTTCACCCAGTAGTTTTAATTCCAGTTCATAATTCTAGTCAGTTTAGTAATCCCATCAGCATTTGGAAAAGAACGATTTTCTACGTTTGTCAATAGGTCTGTGTTGGCATTCTGTGAAGTAAAAGGTTTTCTCCTCCACTGGTGCTCTTTGATTATCCCAAAATACATTTTCTCCCGAGAGGTATATGTTTTATTCTTTTTGTTACAGTCATTTGTTACATGGGCTGAATAGATGGTGACTGTATCATTTGTCATCTAACCAGACCATTTTGAGAAGGAGAGGGTTGCTGTGAATAATTATGATGAAATAGCAGGATAAACTGGGAAGCTCCTGGTCAAGCACTGACATTTGGTCCTCTTAGCTAAATGAAACCTGGGTTGATATTGTGTTGTTTTCTTTCTCCCTGGCTTTTCATTTTCTCTAGCAGATTTTGCTTACTTTAAGGAGAATAGAACCAATCTGGTCCTGCCAGTCAAGTAAGGAGCTGTATGTGGAAACCTCAGTTGGCTGGCCCCATGCGTCTAATCTCTTCCTGGGATGTTACAGCTCTTTATAGATCAGTGCCCGAGCAGCCTGGCTGGCCTGCCTGTGGTCACCTGTGCCAGGAGGCCTGACTATTAGTCACTTATTCTTCCCCATCTTAGTCTTGGGTACCTTTCTCCCAGCACAAAGATAGGACAGGTGGCTTTTTGGATCCATCCAATTGCTGCTGTGCTCCGCGTGTTTCTCCAGTTTGTCCCAGCAGGTGCACTGTGGGCAACAGGGATAGCACTGATGAGGGTGTAGGTCCCATATCGAGCATCACTGATTCCCAATACTGAATTTACTTGCACAGAATAACTCAAAGTGATTCCTTTTTATGTACTTAAGGTACTTATACCTTTCCCTTTCTGACTTTTTTGTGTACATCTTGCTGGTATATCTTTGGTGTTATCTTGCCTCCTTTACTTCATGTGGAGTTCTTATGTTGCTCTATCTTTATAATTAAAGTAAAAAGTTCTTTATTGATAGACCTACTTTCCTATACAACATCATCACCTTATAGAAGTCTTTCTGATTGAGGAACAACTTCTCTGAATACTGATTGTTCCTAGTTGTGGTTGTTTGGTTTAGATTTAGGGAACACATAGATATCTAATCTCTAGCAGTGTGAGAATCAGGGCCTGCCAAGCACATATGCTTAAAGTTTGTACCATGGCAGTTATTCTCTCAAGGACCCTGCTGTTTGTGAGAGTCAGCACAGGCCACTTCTTGAGAGAGCAGAGGTCAAGCATGCTTCTCTTCTATTTGGTGAGCTCCTCTTCATCCTTCAAAACCCAATTCAGAAACCACACCCACTGAAAGTCTTGCCCAACACCGAAGATAGTGAGTTGCCATGCCATCTATCTTAATACTTTGCACATATCTCTTTTGTGTCTGTTATCATGTTTACTAAAGTCTTCCTCCATCCCTCAGGGCCTAATAGTGACTGCTCATGTTTGACCTTCACAAATGATTGTTCCATTAAATAACAGATGGGCATCTTTCCACTATTTCAATGACCATGATGTAGGCACTGTCTTCCCATGGCCATTATAAATGAACTATGAAGTTTAAGAGCTGAAGGCATTCAATTCAAGTCCTTTTTTCCTGCTGCTTTTGAAGGTTTGGGATCTGAAAAGCTCTATTATCAAAAACAACAATAGCAGCTACTTGCTGACTTACTATATGTTAGATTCTGTGCTTAGTCATTTACATGCATTATTTCATTTAATCCTCAAAGCCATCCAAAGTGGTAGGTGTTTCTTGTCATCCCCATCAAGCAGAGGAAGAAAACTGGTCTCAGAGAGTTTGAGAAACTTGTTCAAGGTCAAACAAGTAGTAAGTGATGGGAGTAGGAGTTAAATTTAGATTTGCTGCCTCTAAATCCCGTTTTTTACTGCAGGGGCTGGAGAGATAGGTAGATAGATAGATACACTAATAAACATCTATGATTAGATCAATCATTTACCCTGAAAGTTACAAATTATTAATCTTTATCAATGTTGCCTATAGGTAATCTCATAGGTATAAAGTTAAGAGGGGAAATTATATCGAATTTACTGATAAACAGACCCAGCACAGTTTTGTTATCATCCTGAATACTTAGCCAGGTTTAACAGGGCATCAGTTATTCATACAACAAGGAGGATGGTCTGGGTCACAGATAATTTCAAGATATTATTTCTTTTTTTTTTTTTGTATCCTCACCCGAGGATATTTTTCCATTTTTTGTTCAGGTAGAGTGGGAGGGAGAGAGAGGAAGGGAGAGAGAGAGAAACATCGACGTGAAGGGACACATCGAGTGGCTGCCACCCGCACGACCAACCAGGGCCGGGGACAAACTGCAACCAAAGTACGTGCCCTTAGCGGGAACCGAACCCGGGTCTCTCCGGACCGCAGGCCGACGCTTTAACCGCTGAGCCAAACTGGCCAGGGCCAAGATATTATATCTTTATTTTAGCCTATAGACTTAACTCCTCTTGTTTGTACTTCACACATTAACTTTTTACTGTATTCAAAATAAAGCCAGTAAGACGGACACAGTATGATGATTTGAGTTTTCCTTTTCTACTTTGATTAGCCAACTTGCTGATCTTAATAAGCAATCAGATGGACAGGCAGCACTGGTA